GAAAGGAAAGGAAAGGAAAGGAAAGGAAAGGAAAGGAAAGGAAAGGAAAGGAAAGGAACCCCACCTTGAACACAACGATCCTATTCCTTAAAAAAAAAAAATAGAGATAGTAGCTCTTAACAGCAGGATTAAGCAGAGGGAGATACGGGTCAATTTTCACACTCTTTTTTTTTTTTTTGCCAAAGGCTTACAAACCATTGGATGAGCAAAGTCTCTTTATTAGGCATTAGAGTCACCACAAGTCTGTTTTCCAACCCTCCTTTAAAAAAAGAGAGAGTGCACTCTGGTCCTCGTGCACTGTTTTTTTCCTTTCTCTCACAATATCCCTGCAAGGTGGGTGACACGGAGAGATTAGGACTGGCAGAGGTAAAGCACCACCTTTGGAAATCCACCAACAACCCGCGATCAAAATGTACTGTGGCTTAGTATGAGTGATTCCCAGCTTGTGGCTGCAGACCTTGGCTTGTTAACTTTGCTGTTTGGGAGGAACAAGCGATGGGTCTGCTGTGGTATGTTCTGAAAGGAAAGCGGGCGTGAATTTTGTTCCATTTTGTTCCAGGGCCTTGTGGTTTTACAGTGAGAAATGTACGTCTCCATGTGAGATCTGGTCTTTTTCTGCAGGTCATAACAGAATGGGGCCAAGGGAACTCGTATGCTCTGGAAGCTGCCATTATAACTTGTTCCTGCATCTCTGTGATGATCAAAAGCGTCCTGTTCTGGGCACTGTTTCACGTCTATCAGAGCTTCGGGCAAGGGCTGAGGGAGAGGAGTGAGTATCAGAGGCATAGGAAAGGTTCTGGGAGTAACTTCAATCGGTGCGGGCTGGAACTCTTCAGCAGACAGCTGGTGTGGTTAGTGAAACCCTTGGCAGGCCAGAATGAGAAGAGGCCACCTGGCTAAGGTGAATTCCACTTTTTTCAAACACTGTAGGCCAATTCATCCTGACAGTTGGATAGGAAGGCCTAGACGCCACGTTAGGTCAGCAGAGAAGCCATCAAAACCAAGTCAGGCAAAGCGACCACTGCTGCATTGAGTGCTGATGGGTGCAGTTGAGGCCTACCCATCAGGGATCAAGGCAAAACTGCTCTCGCGCTGGCTTTTGATTGGTGGCTCCTCCACCAATCAGCGCTCAGGAATGCCAGTCAGTGCTACTCCTCCTCACACCCCAGAGCAGTACAAACAATCGACTCTTAGGCAATTTTTTTGGCACTCTGTTTTCATTCTTGGTTGATGTTCCTTTCTCTGTTGCTCTGTGCACAGTGTTTTCTTCCTATGGAAGGATTGATTAATGACCTGCAGCTCCATCACCAAGCCGATGCGGTGCTCTTATAGAGTGAAAACCTACTTGGGAAGATCTGCTTTCCCCCCACGCTGGACTCTGGAGACTGATGGAGAAGCAGCAGAAGAGGCTTGATCCCCATGGAGACCTTTGCTCCACTTTCTAGGGCTCCGTTCTGCCTCGCTGGATCCCCTGGACCTCATGGACCACCCCAGCAGCTTCCCCCTGCTGTCCCTGCTGAAGAGCAAACAAAAACACGCATATTCCTATTCTCCAAACGACCTGTCGGAGCACTTTCTCAATATAGCTTGCACTGTGAGTGAGTGATCTTTCTTGTGCTAGGATCTGGCATTTCCTCCTCTTGCTGTACTGTACATCCCCTATTTTTTATTTTATTTATGAAATTTGTATGCCGCCCATTTCCCCCAACAGAGATTTTTAGTTAGTTCAGCCGAGGCGCTGCGACGTTGGCATGTCTGAGCTTGATCGGCAGGCAGATTTCAGGTGCCAAATTGAAAGCCAGATCGTAGGGATGTGGCGGTAGCTTTGGGTGAATCTCGTGCTAAGAGCCTCAGGCCAGTTTGCACAACATGATCCGCTCTCAAAGGTCTAGATCCAGTTTGAAACCAGAGACACTGATCTCTAGCACTTCTGGTTGGGTTACAGAGGGAGCTGCCTATTTTCACACTGTCAAGGTTGCAGGAGCTGAATTTTCATTCCAGTGGCAAGTTTGCTTCTGATCCGCCAAATTTGGCAGACGCTCACAGAGATGGCTCAGCCCTCCTGGTGAGGTGCCAGGGGCCGGGGAGGCAGAGAACAGTAGCATACGCCCGGGCTGGGCAACTCTGAATGAAGACACTCCTTCTGTAGGGAGATCTTATCCCACCTAAAGAATTTAGGCTCACCACCCACCGAAGGCATGTTAGAGGGGCTTTGCTGTAAAACAAAGTGGAGAGCTCTTGTTTCACACTGGAGCTCTGAGATGGTCCAAGTGGTTAGTCCAAACTGCTTAGCACCAACCCTCCTGGATGAGTAAATTCCAGCTTCCTGCAAAAACAGTGAATCGCAGGAGACTGAATTGTCACATCCAGAATGCAGAAACTGGGCACCACGTGGGGCAGATACCCATCTAAATCAGGCCACGTGAGCTGCTGACTCTCAGAAATTTGGCCCTGACAATAGGGTGTCTGGTTTCCCCCAGCTAAAAGTTTCCTATGTCAATATGAGCATGGCTGATTTCTTGGTGAATCCAGAGAGCTCTTTTTAAAAAGACTTCAGTACAATCTTAAAACTTCCAAAGATGACCTTCTCCCAGATGTATAGGTTTGGTCCTGTCTTTTCAAAACAACCCAGCTATGTGAGTGTCTTAGCCGATATATTCTTCAGAACAAAATGATTTTTCTAACAAAACAAAACCCAGTATTTAATACTCTAATTATAATGCTTTATTAAAAGGTTTGTTACTGGCCTTGTATTTTTCAATAAAGGATCAATGGCATGGTTGCGTTTTGTAACTCTTGATCTCCTCTACCCCAGACACAAAACAATTTGCTCTTCAAAGAAATAAAAACTGATATTCTTGAGCAACATCTTTGTTAATCCTGCACTAAAGAGGCCACATCTGCATTTCTTAGCCTCTCAGGCCAACCCCAATACTTCCGAAGGCACTTGGCATTTTCCAATTTACAAAGAGTCCGCCCTTTTCATAATTCGCTGCTAATTTACAGGACTTACTTCGCTCTATCAACTTGCTAAAAAACAAGAGGCTGAGTGGGAAAATGTCCCCCGCCTTTCCTAGAGTTCTGCAAAGAAAAAAAAGTCATTACACTATTTATTTATTAGTCACTCATTTACTTTGCTGTCTTCCCATATTATCTCAGTATCAACCGCTACAGCTCCTGCCAGATGTTTTTTTCCAGATGCAAGTGTTGAATGCTTGTGATAAGTAAGTTATTACCCTATCAGGGAGCGGGGAGGTTTCTTTAATCCCATCCTGCAGCTTTCCAACAGACAGCCTCCATTACAATCTGTCACTCCTTGCTTATCATCTCTCAAGGATCAATTCTGATGCTGCTAATATCTTTGGGAAGGGTGGGGTTACAGCCTCCCTACTGAACATTTTAGAAGTGTTTTGCTCTAAAGAACCTGAGACCCCTGAATAGCTGTCCAGGTTCCTATATTGCACAAAGCCATGATTTGTCCAACTGACCAAGTTCACGTACCGCGCTAAGCCATAAACTGTGGGTGACTGCTTGTGAGAAAAAGATTGGGTTCATGCATGCTCAACCCAAGCCAACATAACCATATTTTGGACTCAATGCATTATATGAAACCACCTTTTTTTCCACAAGGGATCATTCCTTCCACCCGTTACCTTTTCTTCTTTCCAAGAAATGTCATGATGATTTTGGGATTAACTCAACAGCAGAGAGAGCCACCAAGTTTTGGATGCTGAAAGACAAAACCCAGCTGCTTGAGGGACAATGTCTTTTCTCAGACATTGACACTCCTCAGCCCGACATCCCCTCTGCCACCCGCTAATGCTCTTCCGTCGCCACGTCTCAATGTCCTTGGGTCCAGCTTTCCACTACTGGATGCTATCACACGACACCAATTTTTTGGAAAAAAGAAAGATTTATTGAAAAGATCTGGAAAATAGTTCTGCTCTCAGCAATATCTTACAAGTTTCTGAAGCGTTAACAGTAAGAAACGTCAGGCATCTGACTTAGCAAAGATCAGAACCCTACCGCAGGGCTATCTTTAACTGGAGTAAAAAGAACGTTGACCATGCTGCCAAAAAGTGGATTCATAAGACGGATGGTAGACAACCAACGAACTGGACTGGGCCTACTCATTTTTATTTCCCGCCACCCATCTCTGCCACGTCTTTCTAGGCTGCGCATCATTAAAAAAGGACCTGAAAAGGATTTGGAGAAGCAAGCACGCCAAAGAGGAAGAAGCTCTTGAACCATGAAGACCGCTGTCTCCACGTTCAAGAACTTTGGACCAAAGTGGCTCTTTTGAAAATTAGCTGGGGCTTTCCGATTTTGCCAAATCATCACCCCCAAAAGTTCCAATGAGCGCTCAGACGTTGCCATTGAGCAATATCTGGAAGGCTATACATTCCCTTCCTCTTACAACTAACACCCCAATGTCCTCTCTGAATGTTTGCTCGGTGTGTCATGCCTCTTGCACACACGGTTGTGCCCCGTCCTCGCTTTACTGCGTTGACACCCTCCAAACAACAGGCTTGTAAACAAGTTTTCTCGGGGCTGAGTTGCAGGTCTCTTGCCAAGAGAGGGGAAGTTGGGCATTTAGCAACAGAGAAAGGAAGCATGTTGAAATCCATCACCAAAGCCCTGTGCGCCCTTAGCAGAGGCAGCTTAAAAGAACATGCAGCGAGTTGACAGAAATGGAAACAGGGCAAGTGACGTGGCTTCACTGGAGGATGTAAGCCTGACTTTCAACCATCCTGGTTTGTTACTCCTCCTCCAGCCTTCTGTACTTCTGCCTGAACACGGATGGCAAGGAAAAGAAAGAAACTCCTCTTGTTTTCAGAGCAAACACAGGTTTGGAGAGCCTGGCAATTGTTATACTCAAAAGAACTGGCTCAGATATGCTTCCATAAAAGACACAGCTTTGGGCTGAGTCTCTGCTGTAAAAAAAAGGATGCTTCTTCCTATTCAGAGAAGTTTGAATGATCCACGGGGAAGGGTGACGGGAGGATGCTAGCACCCCAGCTGCAATCCAAAATCCAGAGTTCAAGCGATGACACGGTCAAGCTCTCGCCTTGTCTTCCTGTCTCACGGCCTCGGAGCCAAAGAATACATATAAATAAAGAGGTGGGAGAGGAGACATTTCGCTCAGGATCACAGAACGGCAGGAGGAAGCGCAGCCCAGCAGTTTTGAAAAATTATTTTTAGACAGAATTCACTGGGAGGACATAATTACAAGCCGCTGGCAATTATATACAACCTTAACTTTTAAAAATGGCTGGGTTATTTTCTGATCCCTGACAAAGAGGTACTAGTTAGAAAAAGAACGTTTCTTTTAAAGATGACTTAGAAAAAAAAAATTGGTCAACTTACGAAAAAGTAAACTGCCACATTTCCTAAATAAGGCTCGTTTGATTTCTCAGCTCATTGGAAATGATTTTTTTTTCCCCTTCAGGTCTCCAGTGAATCTTTTTGCCCAAGTCGAGATATTCTGTACCAATGCCAACATCAGGGTTTTGAACCTTTTTTCCCCCCTTAATTATTGCACATTGGGAAGAAAATCCAACTAGCGACTCTCTATTCTGTAGTGGCTTAAATACTGGTAAGGGAGCAGGACAGAGATGAGAAAAGCAAAACACTCTTTCTGTTCTTCATCCAGCATGGAAATTGGCAACCTGTTTCAACAAGTTATTTCCTTATTCCGGTGTAGAAATATATCCTTTCATTTCCAACTCCCAGCGAGCTACGTAGTATTTGGAAAGCTAGTAGTGTCTATGGGTGTGCTGTTCTAAAGTTAAAACGCCACACGCCTGCAGTCTGGGAAGCGAGGCTGCCATTTCAACTAGCCAGCTAAAATACCTGTGGTGTAAAGTGGCAATACCAAGAAGGCCTTAAAAATGCAAGCAAATACAGTGGGCCAGCGAAGTGGGAGATGGAGGACAGCTCGCAGGATTTTGCTCAACCAACTACACTTGAAAAATCCCACTAAGTCAACCAAAGAAGCATGTGATGCTAGAAGGGGAAAGGTTTACAAAGCGTCACTTCTACCCGGTGTCGAATGAACTGAAGATGTTTTCTGCGTGCAGGGAAAAGAACAGGGCAATGGCAAAAGTGGGGAGCATTTACGCAATACTGAGCACGCTGTAAAAAAATTAGGTGACAGACGCGTTTTCACCCAAGAGTCCCTGACAAAATACCAGTGAATTTCTTTGGGGAAAATCCTGCCTGTTTCTTCTCCATCACATTTGGACTGCCCGAATGAAGCCGATACTGTGACGAAGAGAAGCCTAAACCATTTATGCTGTATTTCCATCCGACAGAGTGATAAAGGGAGGAAGCAGCTTCCCTATTTGAAAAGGACATCACAGTGGGACGCTCCCTGGCTGAACCCAACGTGACCATATCAAACTCCTTCTGTGCAAGAAAAAAGTCTGGACTGTCAATTTCCTTCATGACATCTTAGCTTTGGACTTCCGGGGATTTATAAAAAATACACAAGGCATTCCAAACCCGAATTCCAATGCTCAGTTCTCGGAAGTCACGGAATGACCTCTTTCTCCTATCCTGGATCACCCTGCACGAAAGCAAAGCGGAATTTGGTAATGGTGGAGAATTAAAAAAGTATTTTAGTCTGGACGTTCCCCATTCTTGAAAATCCCCTTTATTAATCTTCGTAAAAGCCAAGTCTTTGTCTTTCCCCCATATCCATGAGATAGAAACTTAGACATCATCAACAACAGAAGGTATTATAACAACAGCAAAAAATTTAAAAAGGACACACAGCACGTTGAAGACACCAGAGGAAAAACGCAAAGCAAGTTTTTTTCTAACTCTAGTTGGACTTTCACACGATGGTTTGACATCAGATCTGTCCCGACGGCCTTTATTTCATCAGCAGCAGCTTCATTCTCATTTGGACTCAAAAATCATGGAAGGCAGTCTTGTCTCAAACAGTTTCAGCCTTATGCCTCGGTGGTCCAGCTGGAAACAGCTCGGCAAGACTGGATTCCTGGAGGAAGGGGGAACAGGACTGGAGCCTTTAGCCATGGCTGGGTTTTGCAGAAATCTGCAAAGAGCTGTAAAATCAGGACTTCCAATCTCCACGCGTTTCTGGGCCATGTAAATGCTGTCCAAGTCCATGAGGCTCTTGAAAGAGCAAATTACAGGAATCCCGACAACAGAAATTGATGCTCTTGGAAGAGGAAACGGAGCAGCCCCAAGATTATGTACACAGGAATTTTGGGGGGGGGCTTTCATTTTCCAAACCATGGTGGATTTTCAACCCCGCAATACTCGTATGGATTTGGAACAATACGTTGGAATTATTTCCGATGCAAAGAATTCACACAAGAGCACAAGAACGTTTTGACACATAGAAAGACACCCCCACATGTGCTTCAAAGGGAAGGCGAACCGTCGCCCATCCCTACAAACTTCATCTGCAGCTCTTACATCCAAAACAGATTGAAGAGGAACAACTTCTAAAGATCCCAAAGGCTGGTTCAAAACAAAGTCCTGCTTGCCTTGGTCCCTTCAAGGACAGTGGTATCACAGAAGACACACAAAAGATGAACATTGAAACACCAAAGGGAAAAGGTTTCTAAGCAGCCATCGAAAAAACCAGAACACACTTTTTGTAAATTGAAGAAAGGGGAGAAATGAAGAACGAACAGCAGCTGTAATGAACAGGTGTATCTTGGCAAGTTTGCAGAACGGGCCACTTACATCAAACTGCCAGACTCCGCCGCCGTCACTGCCACGGCCCCTGGAAATCACACCCCATCGGTGGATTTGCCAGTAAGCTTTCCTGTTTAGAAATGAAACCAACTGCTTGGAAAACCCACCGCATGTTTTCACAAGGATACAACTTTCTTTCCGTGGCCCACACAAGCCGAAGATCTACCTGTTCCTCTTTTCTCTGGGGTTCCCTAACAAGGCAGGAAACTAACATGATAGCTGGTCATCAGTAGAACAGACTGGTATGAGGTACGTTGCTATCTTTTTTGTAAAAAATCATTCATATATATATATATAGAGAGAGAGAGAGAGAGAGAGAGAGAGAGAGAGAGAGAGAGAGAGAGAGAGAGAGAGAGAGAGAGAGAGAGAGAGAGAGAGAGAGAGAGAGAGAGAGAGAGAGAGAGAGAGAGAGAGAGAGAGAGAGAGAGAGAGAGAGAGAGAGAGAGAGAGAGAGAGAGAGAGAGAGAGAGAGAGAGAGAGAGAGAGAGAGAGAGAGAGAGAGAGAGAGAGAGAGAGAGAGAGAGAGAGAGAGAGAGAGAGAGAGAGAGAGAGAGAGAGAGAGAGAGAGAGAGAGAGAGAGAGAGAGAGAGAGAGAGAGAGAGAGAGAGAGAGAGAGAGAGAGAGAGGGGGGGGGGGGAAGCACATTATGTTGGTCTACTCCGGCTACAGGCTTAAAACACTTAAATACAAACAAGGACAGTCCCATCTTGCTGTCTCCTCCAAGGGTGAGCTCAACCCATACCCGACACTCAAAACTCCTCTTCCTCGTCGACCGCAAAGTGGTTTTGCTTCTTCCGAACGTTCCAGTGCAAACACTCGGCCAGGCTTTCAAACCAATCGCTCACAGGATCTTGGAAGCAGATTGAAGGGAGCGGATAGCACGAAGTTGTGATGCTGATACTAGGAGGAAGAGGAGAACGATGGCCGATTAGGACAAATCCAGCTGAAAACAGGTGGCCCAAAGATTTGGTCGCCCAAAGATTTCAGCTGCTCGGAATTCAACAGCTGCTTGAAGTTCAGATCAGAGTTGCTTAAAAGCAACTCCCTCCTAAGGTCAAAACATTTTCCTGTTTTGAAGGCCATTGTTCCTTTACACCCCTGCATCTTCTGCATTTCCTGATTGTTTAGAAGAAAGCCCCTCCTAGCTTCATCTAGAAGGACGTTCTCACCTGTCCCCGTGGCAGATCTCCTGCCTCTTCCGCCCGTCAAACGAAACCCACGCGGTGTTCCTGGCATCCGGAGACAGCATGATCTGGATTGAAAGGGAAGAAATAAGACCTGATTTCCAAGTTTAGGTCCTGTGATGGAGAAGTATCTCTGAAAGAACAGCTCCAGGACCACCCCAGTGCTAAGTTCTGGAGAAGAACTGGAAGTTCTTCTCCCTGTCACACTGGACCCCCATTTCTTCTAACCATGACTTAATAAGCCACAATGGTAGTGCTTACATTATGCAAGCCATCCCAAATGCCTAAGCCAAAACCAAACATCTATATTATGGCATCACGGTTAAGACACCTCCCACGTTACGGAAACTGTGATGGCTATCAGAGAACCAGCAACCCCACACAGTGGAGCAACAGTTATGTACATTAGTGATTATTGATAAAAAAACCACCTGGCAGGTTAAGGTTGTGTATCTAGGCCAGTGTTTCTCAACCTTGGCTACTTGAAGATGGGTGGACTTCAACTCCCAGAATTCGCCAGCCAGCATCTTCAAGTGGCCAAGGTTGAGAAACACTAGTCTAGACCTTTGGATGCTGAACTGCTAATTCCCAACCTCTGATTTATTCATATTTCAGCATGCTTCTTTTAACCCAACAAAGAATCTACATTCAGAGGTCCCACAGGGGAACCTAACTGCCAATTTGGAGACAAAAACAGGATATAATAAGAATGTGGCATCTGTTGTGAAAAAGTATGCTAGCTGGGTTCTTTGGGGTGGGGTCAGAGGTAAAACATGATTCACTCTTTCAAAGCAGTCTTCACGGAGACAAAAATGCTAACCAGAACACGGAGTTTCATCCTTCCAAATAAAGGTGTTAATTGCTTGCCCTGACTTAGCTCTTTTCTTTCGCTCTGTAGGACTGAAAGACATTTTGGCACCACGCATAAGTCTGCTGTAATCTGTTTACGGGGAGGTGGTGACGGGGGAGAAAGGGCCAGGATTGCTACTAATACTCTCTTTACTTACGTAAGAGAAAACATAAACCTGTTCAATGGGAGCGGGATTGCAAAACATATGCTTAAGCGGGCCCTCTACAGCACAGAAAGCAGGTTAGTTTTAACCCAATTCGTTGTTTGCTAATCAAGTTAGTTACTTGTTTGCCTTGTTTTGTGGTTTAATCTGCAGTAGGAACTCGGCCCATCTGGTTCGCTCATGGTTTAGGGGGCTGAATGCAAAGCAAGAAAATGAACCATCACCTTGGGGATGTGCAGTGTGTGCAGTACCTTAAAAAATGTGTTGGTTTATTAGATTTATATCCTGCCTTTCATTCAGGAGCTCAAGAGAGTGTATCTAGCACATCCTTCTCCCATTTTTCCCCAGATAAGTTGGGCTGAAAGAGAGGGACTGGCCCAAACACACCCCCAGGAGCTTCTATGGCTGAGCAGGAGACCAGAACCTGGGTCTCGCTGCTCAAACCACAGTGTTTCTCTTTTACGGAACTAATTAAGATCATACCTTCAGGTCCACTCCAGCTGGAACAACAATGGGCCGGAAGGACAGGGAATGAGGGCAGATTGGGGTAATCATGATGGCAGGAACGTTTGGGTGGATCATCGATGCGCCCGCAGCCGCTGCGTACGCCGTACTGCCAGTTGGCGTGGAAACAATGACGCCTAGTGGGAAGAAACAAGTATCGTTTGTATTCAGAACAACTGGAGGGGCCAAATTGGAACCCATCAGCTCCGTAAGCCTTCCCTGGGCAATGTGTATGCCGCCCAGAGTCACCCGTTGGGGGGAGATGGGCAGCATACAAATGTAATAATTAATAATTAATTAATTAATCAACCCAAAAGAGGCTTACCATCTCCTTGTACAGTGGTAATAAGATGGCCATCAAGGAAGACATCCACATTGGAAAGGTAAGAAGAAGGACCTCGGTCCACCACCACTTCATTCAGGACCTGGACAACAGAAAAGTATGTTATTGGTGAAATGCACCCTTCTCCGACTTGGGGTAAGGAGTCCAGGAGTTTAGACAGGAACCGATTCAACAAGTGCACATGGATAAGGAATATATGGATAACTTCGGATAAGGAACGTTATCACGGAAAAGCTAAGGAGCTACTGGAAAAGAATTCCAGCAATTGCTACATGTCCAAAGAGCAACCTGTACATAGGGAGCACAATCTTCAATTTCTGCTCCTCTTCTTGGACACGCTTCTCTCCTAGGTGGGAGGCCTCCTTCCATCTGTCTCTTATTTTGGTAACAGACAGATCTGCTATCAGGTTGTTCCCTCTGACTGCGGGAGAACAAGTTCCCATCTCCCCCATTTCTAGCCTCAAGGCATCTCAAAGAAGCCCTGATAGGGCCAGTACTTCGAAGGAGGTCATTTCGTAATGTTTGTTTTGTACTGGGATGGGTTATCCTGCTTCAGGCGAGGGCCACATTCCTCCTGCGCTTTTTGGTGGGCGGGACCAAGCAAAAGAGTGGGTGGGGCAAAGCCAGGATGGGTGGAGACACTAATTCTCTTTCTGACCCTTTCTCCTCTCTCTGATGCTGCCTCCTCTCGCTGCAAGTGGCTGGGGACAGACAGAGCGCTTTCAGTAGAGCTCTGAAATGATCTTTTGCGGAGGCATTTTCCATATGGAGCTTCACAGCTGTAGTTGCCCCCCCACCAAAAAAATATAAATATAAAAACAAAGCAGACTCTGTATCATGTGGAAGCCAGCACATGTCAAAGCCAACTTAAGCAATTAGAATTAATAATAAATCAATACACAATTACCTAACCTTAAATTAAACAATCCAGTGATAAATTCATAAACAAGTAATACCTTAATACACAATTCAACGAATAATACCTTAATAAACAATGAAATAACACATTAATAAAGCATTTCCATTTTATTTTTTACCGATCCTTCCGGTAAAAACATCCAGCAAGTAAGTAATATATCACAGCCAAAATCCAAACCAGGGTGGGGTCAGAAGGGAACCTCGATTTAAGTAGATTTAAAACAGATGATCAGGAAAGTTCCTGGCAAATTTCATTTGAGGAATCTCTACCTCATGCTTAGTAATATTGATTAGCAAGAAGGGAAGAAAGAAGATGACCTGCCCGTAATGCTCCAGAGATACCAACCAGATACTGAATGGCTTGTTTAAACATTTCCTTTTCCAGACTGGAAGACACCACCCCGTTTTCCTCAATCCCATTCTGAATCACTGCCTTCTTCTCCCGGTGTTCCTTAATAACCTTCACTTTCAGCCTGCTGCGGAGAACCAGGGCTGCGTTGCCTGCAAGAAGGAATTAAGAGGCAGCAAGAAGAAAGGATTAAAATGGCTGTTCTAATTAGCAGAAGGAACCAAAGAATTACCTACGCTGAATCCTCACAATAAACATCCATTTTATAGAATAAGATAGTCAGCTCCACGGGGTCCAGAACCTGCTTCCCACCTGAGCCAATCCAGAGGAACGGTCTTAACTCAAACCATCACTCAGTATTGACTTTACAGAACGGCAGAAACTCTCTGGGCCTTCAAAGAGATTGAATCAACTTGGACTTTTCTGCCACAGGGTATGTTATATCACCATGCCCACCCTGTAGTCTTAAAAGGGGGTCGGTCTGGGATTTTGAAAGCATGTAATGGGCACACTCACAAAATGGCTACCACAGAGAAGGCAAACTGGTAACGTTGCTCTCTTCCACACAAAGCTTCCCAGGATTGGCCTGCTCTCCTCCCAATTACATTTGCTTTTTCCTCACCGGGGTGGGGGGGCTTTGAGTTGCAGTCAGCCAGTCTCTATTTTCTAAAAACTCGGGGACTCCTGAGGCATTGTAATAGTCTGTGGGAATGACCTCGGGAGACAGGGAAGAGCCGGAGCCAGGACAACGGTTGGATAAGAGGCAGCTGAGCCCACAGCAGGAATGGGGGCACGGCAAACATCTCAGAAGGGACCCTCCCTAGGGTCTTGGGCTGTAAAGGCGGGGGGGGAGAGGTGTACTTTCAGACTTGCAAGATTCTGTTAACGTAACCTTACAATAAAGTAGAATTAGTTCATCTGGGCGTGCTTCCTGTCTGGACTACCTCACAAGGCCGACAGGCATTCTTGCAAATAAAGGCAGCTGATGAGCCTGGTGCTTGGCTTGAGAATTACTTAATTTTTTTAAAAAACTGGGGCAGGGGGGCAATTCCACTGCCTAGAGGTTGCCAAACTCCATCAGTTGGAGTCGGGCAGCATCCACGTTGAAAATAAACAGATAAAGACATCCGACAATCAGCTGTATGTTAATTCTGAGCTCTGCTATACAGACCTTTTTTCTCGTTTTCTTTTGCACTGTTCAAAAGGATCGCTCGTTCGGAAAGCAAACCAGCAACTGGGCTTAGATGCCCTGTTGTTGATGTAGCCGGAAGAGCACATAAGAGAGCATTTCAGGGGTCCCGAGTTCATTGATGGAGAGGCAGGCCAAATCTACCTGCTTGACTCATCTCATGAGCATTGCAACAGCCAGTGGAAATGGAAGGACCTTCAAGAACTTACCTTCTATTACCTGGGTGACTTGAGACTGAAAGTTCTCAAAATTGAAGGGGGTGAGGAAGCCCAGGGACCCCAAATGGAAAGCCATCACTGGCGGGACACTCCTCTGTTGGCAAGGAAAAAAACAAGGGGGGGAGAATGTTAGAAAGCACTGAGAAACAGCACCCCGAGCACTTTTGTCCTCATTCTTACATCTGGGAGAAATGCCCTTTCATTCTTCTGTATTCATTGGGAATGAATGCAAAACCCAGAGCAAATACACCAGGCTAATTGTGCCAGGTTTGCAAAGCAATCTGCAGAAATCGCCAGCCCTTAGCCACGTTTCTCTGCTATCGCTGTTCTTTGTGTTGTTTTGGGGGTTTTGTACTGTTCCTTGTTTTTAAACGTTTTTAATCATTTGTAAACCACCTAGAGTTACTGGGAGACAGGCAGCATATAAATAATAATAATAATAATAATAATAATAATAATAATATTATTTTCC